CAGCCACGTGTGCTGAAGCGATGACCGATCGACCTTAGACCCATCTTACGACATTACGTCAGCGCACGTGGCCGCCTTACCCAACAACACGTGAATTGGCCAAAGACCACATTGGTCGTACATGTGAACCAGCCTTACATTACCTGCTGCATTGCAAAGATACGGTCTTTTCACAATAAAAGCACAGCGTTGAATTAGCAACATTACGCTATCGAATGATTACTAATAGTCAAAAAAAAAAACTGTGTCCGGCGAGAATCATGCGCGTCTGTATCGCAAAAAATCTTCTTCTGTAACAATGTCAAAATTGGCCTTTTCGATATCTGGTGATGCCCAGAACTCTAGGCTTTCGAATGATTCCTAACGCTTTGAGAAAAGTTCCCGTCTAGCGAATGAGGTCGATTTTTCATTTGTCCTCTTATAATCGAAAAGCACCAGAAAAACTTCAAACTGACGCCCAACCTCCTTCCCAAGTCAACAATAAGTGGATATCCATCTTCACCCATTCTATCCTCTTCTCTGCCATCGTTTGAACCCGGAAGATCGTCGGAGTTCGGGTGATCAAATGCTGCAATCACTGTAAATGAATCACAATGGAAGCAACTGATTGCTCTGAGCCGTAAAATACTATAAGTTAGGCAAATTTTAATATACATGAATCACCAAACAAAAAACTTCCTTCGCTGACCTTCAGAAGCTGCTTCTGTTACGACGTCTAGATTTGCAGGAGGATTCAGCATAGAATAGCGGTTCTTGGGTCCAGTTCCATCTTCGCTACCACCAATGTTAAGATGCCTGAAGTATGAAGAATAGGATGGAAGAAAAGACTAATAGTGCTATCACTCACTTTTGAAATGGCTCTATGAGGTCACTGGACGATGGCAAAGAAAACTCGGCGATATGGTCGTCAAGCGCAGAAGATGATGAAGCTTGCTCATCTGTAGTCACACTTGGAGGCATCTTCCTCCCTTGCTGGAATAGGTGATTATATGTTAGCCGTGAAATCTGCATAATCAGCGACATTTTAGCAGTGATAAGAGAGGATTTGATTAGAATCAGCAACAAAAAATGATAAAATGCCGCTAAAATATGATGACGAAGGAGAAATGCAAAGTCGCAAGCAATATCAATCATATTTCAATTACATTCCGGCCATGACCCCCTTGGGACTGTGTACCCACAACCCCAGCATCTCAGACTGACAACTCTGGAGGTCTGCTTCACCTCCTCTGCATCTCTGACCCCAGTGTACCATTCTTAAACGCAGCAATGTGCCACTGCTAGACGAAGCAGCCAACACTGTTAGACGCAAAAGGTCACTTTTAGACGCTGCACGCTGGGGGCCGAAGATCCAGAGGAGGTGGAGCAGACCGTCCAGGGTTGCGAGTTGGAGTTGCAGAGGCCGTGGGTCACGGTACCGAAAGGGTTAAACGAACATATTTTACTCAAAAGTGGAATCACAGATACCAACTCATACTCTAGAATATGTAAATGACTTTGAATCTTGAGCGGAAACTGAACCAGTGATTCACCCATTCCGGAAGCGCATTCTAACCACTACATAACCGTGGCTCCTGCTCTGCTATCATCTTAATATTCTTGAATACTTCACATTAACAATGCCAAAGGTGACAGGTAAGAGGTAAGAGACATTCCACGACATCCAACTTATAAAATGAAAATCGTCATCAGACATAACCGTCTGAATAAACCGCGACCCTCAGATTTCAAAAGTTCCGGAAAAAAGTAGATAGAACGCGCTATGTGGTTTAGTTCATTTCAATATGTGGTGGCAGATATGAACTTGGGTCCAATATCTCGTGTTTTTCATCGTAATGAAGCGAGATAATTTATTAATTTTGCGTTTAACTGGATCTTGATTTGAAAAATTCAGTAGCCACTCCAGTTCTCTTAGTCGACCGTAAGTTCGAGGGCGAGTCAACATCCAGAAACTCCTAGACTAAAACATAAATGATCAAAAGAAAAGCTCTCGTCATCGATCAATCCCTGAGAGATGAGCTATGTATTCGTCTTCAATGTTTACCCATTCAAGGACCAGCTTCGTAGGCAGGACGCATCGCGTTGTCGCTTGCGCAGCAGTCAGGCAGGCGTCATCTGCATGTATGTGCGCGCATGTCAGGCTGCGTGCCTGCTTTCCCACGAGACGCCACGCCGCCATTACACTAGCTGAGTGAGATCTGACGCCGCGCTGTGAGCATCAGAAAGACCCTCATGGTTCCCAAACGTTTTAGTTCGTTTGAGGTTATCGAATGCTTATCCGATCCTTGCAATCACGGTGGCCTCCCGCTGCATCGAGTCAGCGCTGCTTATCCTCCCAGACAGTCTGTGAACATTCTGGTACCAATTTACGCACCCGGGAGTGATGGACAGCTCGGTGAGCCATGAGCGCGAGATCGAACCACCGACCTTGTGTGCGACGCAGAGCACCTCTCACCACTGCGCTAGATTCGCTCTTTGACCAAAACATACTAATAAAGAAAGGTGCGAGCCGCTACACACTACAAAGATCACATAAGGGAAAATATGGTGGAATAATTGAATCAAGTATTTGATAATTGAATTAAATTAGTAACTGAATGGATTATTTTATATTTGAGTCGACCGTAAGCTAGAGGGAGAGTCAACATCACCAATTCAAACCAAAACATAATAAAGAAAAGGACGAGTTACCACAGTCCACATAGATCAAAGGAGAAGAATGGTTGAGTTGACCCTTTCGGGACCGTGGACCCACCTCTTCTGCGTCTCTAACCCCCAGCGTGCGAGCGCGTTGGATGTATTATTGCATTACTTTAATCGTAATGCAGTTACTATTTTCCTCCTTATAACGACATAGTAAATTCGCATATAACATAACATAGGATAATAGAATCGTAAATAAAAAGGATAACGGATAAGCTCTCGGCGTTGATCAATCCCTGAGGGATGCGCCATGGATTCGACTTCAATTTTTTACTTCGTCTGAAGTTATTGAATGCATGTCTGGCCTTTACATTGACTCGTGGAGGCCTACCGCTGAACCGAGTCAGTGCTGCTTAGCCTCTCAGACAAGTCTGAGACCTGTCTGGTACCAATTTACCGACCCCGGAGAGATGGATGGCTTGGTGAGCCATGAGCGCGAGATCGAACCATTGACCTCGTGCGACGCAGAGCACCTCTAACCACTGCGCCACACGCGCCCCCTAGAATCGTGATACAACTGAAATTATACGATTAAACATCCAATGCGTTCCCATCCACGTGGAGGTCAGAGACACGGTCCCAAAAGGGTTAAATATCGAAATATCAACTCATGACTGGAGATTTCACCTGTTTCGACTCAGTACTCGATGCCTTCGCCCTGGAAGAAGCCGTTTTCTTCTTTTGTCCAGCATCCATTCCGATCAAATCAATGCGTCTGAGAAATTGCCATGCCTAAATGATGCCAAAGGCCTGCGATGTAAAGAGATCAAGCTTAGCGATATGAGAGAATCGAACAGCGAGAATCAAAAAGGACAAGAAAACTGGGAGACATCTACGAAAGTGAATTTGCATCGCACAGTATAAAAGTGTAGATCAAACAATCAATCGATAAGCGCAAGTAAGCGAGTAAATAAACAAGTGAATAAACAAATAAACAAACAAGTTTTGCCGAAAATGAGTCTGCTTTCGTGCTCGATGCCACTGGCCAACAAACGTGCTTCAATCACGATCTCCTCATCGGCGGACAACACGGCCGCGTTCATAGTCTAAGCTCCGCCCCCATTACACAGTGGCCTCGTCCACGATCCCGTTCGGGCGTCGTCCCCCCTCCCTGGTTGCGTCATCCGCCAATCATTCGGGATCTGCTTCATCGCTGATTCGATTGAGGTAGATCTCTCTTGTTGGCATCGAGCCAACGAATTGGCATCAATGCATGGCTTGATCGGGCCAGCCGCTCGTCTCTATCGATCGTTTTTGCGACTGTTTTTCACGCGAACTCTAGAATAATGGGCCCGAATGCCTCGAAAACCGGGGTGATTCGTGACCCGAATCCCCTGGATTCCCACGTTCATGCCCTGGGAGTGGGGAGAGGCATCAACGTAAGGATCCGTCGTCCATTTCCATTCTCGTTCCGAGTGGGGTCTGGTGTTTCCTGTTGGCAAATGTCCAGTATTCCTTTACATTTTCCAATTAAGGCCATATTTAGCGTGTCTCCGTGACGTCATCGCCGATAAGCAAAAATATAATTTAGTTAGAAAATGATGATTCAGGACAGGCCGATGAAAACCTCGTGCTTCCAATAGTACACACACGTTATCGGGAGTGACGTCATCAGCACGCTGTTTGCTCAACCTTTAAACCATTTGGTGGGGTTATCTGCCTGAATTTCATTGCTGTCCTACGACCCTCAGAAGATTCCGCCGTGATCTACCGATCTGCAAATTCTCCCGATGGATGTCTGCGAGTCTTAACCGCTTGACAACGATGTGAGTCATTCTTAGCTCACATCTCTCTCTCTCTCTCTCTCGCTCTCTCCCTTACCTCTCATCTCTCGTCGGTCTCGCAAGATTTCGATTGTTCGTTGTCAGGCTGTTAAGGATTGCCCTTGTCCCCCCCCCCCCCCTGTTGAGGTGACCCGAGGTCGATATCAGTTCTTGTTATTGTTGTTGTCGTTGTGTCGTCGTCGTTCGATTCCTGCTGACCTTTTGGCGGCTTCGCCTTTTTCTAGAGTTCAGACGTATCTTATTAAACGCTATTTATTTAATCTTCTAATTACCGTTAACTGTACTAATCGTACTAGAACATTTAATTGCTTGAATGACGTCATTCTTATCAATTTCATATGAATTAAAGAAACAACGCTATTTTTGGACAGTTCAAAAGTCCGACTTTTACTAAACCTTGGCATAAATACTGAAAAATAATTATGAATTGTCAGAGTTCTTTTTATTTGACTGCCACTTGCAGTGGTATGATGTTATGGTATACCCAATAATGTGGAGTGCTGTAAAAACGTTTGCGTCAGCCGAGATTCGAACCCAGGTCTCACTCTTTCCGGAAACGTGTGCTAACCGTTGCACACCGACGCTCGTTTTGCACAGCACTCTTATTTACGCTAGAACGTGTTGTCTGCCAACAGCCAACCGTCGACGATCTGCGAAAGAGTAAGATCTCGGTTCGAATCCCGGCTGACGCAAACGTTTTTGCACAGCACCTCACATTATTGGGTATACTATGAATTGCCTTTTCTTTAAAGAAAACTGACTAGCTTCGCGCCAGCAAACTCCGTAATCTGTTTCCGTAATTATTCAAAAAGTGAAACGAGTTTACATTTGTATGTCTCGATCGTATCTCCCTATATCTATGGATGTATACGTATACACATGAATATGCATTTACACACGCACGTATACGCGTATACACGTGTGTTTATTTCTTTTATAGTATAATACAATTGTAGTTTATAACGTATAATATTTGTGTTAATAAGTAATAATAGATGTGCTATCAGGATGTAATAATTTAAACTCTTTGGGGACCATAGGGGTTTCTTTGATGTCACCGCGCGACGTCAAATCTCACCGAGCTAGTGTAACGGCGACATAGCGTCACGTGGGAAAGCAGAAAGACAACCAGACAGGCGTGGACAGACATGCAGACACAGCCTACCGGACTGCCGCGCGAGCGACGGCGCGACGCCGCCTGCCTTTCAACGTGGGTCCTCAAAGTGTTCAGCGAGGTTACAAAGTAGTCTATTGAGAGTGTTGACATATCTATACTGGCGTAATAGCCGTAAGCCATGTAGATGACGACCGATGATCAATCACTCTGAAGGAACAACACGGTGATTCTTCCACCGCGCGTACAGTCTAAATAGTTCGTTGTCGATTCCTCGATATAGAGGGTATGTCCCGAGAAGCTGACTGAACCGAATGGTACAATGGTACTGATGCGGTTGAAAGGCCAGAACACATCTAGCACCTCAGAAATGCCTTGACAGACCCAATGAAAGGCTTAAAATATTCTGTCAGGATATAGGTGCATGCATACATGTTCAGCCTTTATGTTTTTTTCCGATTTTGTCTTTGTTTTCCTCACTTTATTTTTCAGTGAATGGCGTTGCATAAAGTAACATAGATAATTTATAATTATATGAATGGCTGCTAATTATTTTTGAGCCAACATGTCATGTGGCGAGCGTATGTGGCGCAGTAGTTAGAGGACGTCGCACACGAGGTCAATGCTTCGATCTCGCGCTCGTGGCTCACCAAATCATCCATCCCTCTGGGGTCGGTAAATTGGTACCAGACAGGTCTCAGACTTGTCTGGAAGGATAAGCAACACTGACTCGGTTCAGCGGGAGGCCACCGCGAGTCATTGTAAAGGTCATATATGCATTCAATCACCTCAAACGAAGTTAGAAATTGAAAACGAATGCATGGCGCATCCCTCAGGGATTGATCAACGCCGAGAGCTCTATCCTTTATGTCATGTGGTCTTTTGTGAGCTTATAGGGCCCAGTACAACTAGTTCGGACTTCACAGCCTCGTCAGTTGGTCGGGACCTTTCGCCTTAGCCAATCCTCTCGAGGGTGTCCCTATTACTCTACATAGAGTAGGCGACGACGTACAATCTACCTTGATCGGCAGTGTTTTACACTCGATTGATCTTGGTTGGTATCTATGGAATATTATACCGTTCGTTTTGAGTCATCTACCATCAGATGTATTGAAATTTTGAGCGTGGTTTCAAGAAATCATTTGAGAGGAACGGTGTAATATCTCATAAATACCAGCCAAGAGCAATCGAGTGTAAAACACTGCCGATCTCAATTTATTTCACTTCACGGCATGTGTAAATCGTACGTCGTCGCCTACTCTATGTAGGGGGGTCGCCTCTCCTCCTCAAGAGGATGGGCTAAGACGAAGGATAGTATCCGACTGAAGGGGCTCTCAAGGCCGAAACACATGTATTGGGCTCTATAGTTACCCTATAAAGATCGCATTCATGGCTCAAAAATTATTAAGCATGCTGAAGTTTTGAGCGTGCTCTTAGGAAAATACTCGAAAGAATGATATATGAATAGCGTTATGTAAAATTCGCTGAGGCTCTGAAGAAGGCGAAGTAGCCGAAATGTCGGCCTTCGAACTACTGCGACAATGGGAACTAGTACGTACCTCAATTCAATTTTATAAGGTCAGTTGTTGAAATTTAAGCATATTGATTATTTCGACTATCACTTCAGAATTTGTCAGGAAGTTTCTTCAAGGTCGTTTAGGTAGAACAATGACAATGTAAGTTGATCCACCGCCGAGTTCAGGAACACTAATTTCTGTTGGCTCTATTGTAGTAGACCAATTCAATTCATCCAGACGAAATCAACGTCAAAATGTCCTCTACGAGCCCATTTCATCTCATCGGAGCCCATTGTATCCAGCGTACAACTGACCTCTTGTTCTATATGTTGTAGTCCATAGTGAAATGTTGGACTGTGGTGGTTGTCATTTATACAATGGTTACAGATCGCACTCTTTCCGGGAGCGCATGCTAACTGTTCGGTCTTTTCATCGATTATAGAGAGCTCTACTTTAATTTTATTTCAAAATATCAGGTCGTTTCAATAAGTTTCAGCACTAGGGCAATAAACACCAATTTTATTTAACCAGGAATAATCAGATTCGCATGATTTTGGCATTGTTCAACATCGCATTTTCTTGCGAAGATTTTGGTACTTAATTTGCCTACAATTGCTTCAAGATGGTACTATCGTGGTGACAGACTCGCTTGCTACTTATGCACGAATGGCGCGTTGGAGAGAAAGCCAATAAACCTGAGCACAAGATCAATGGAGCTTAGGACAATGTGCGGTAGCAGAAAAGACGGCTGGGAAGTGGTTTGTGAAGATTAGAGCTTAAGAGAACAATTTGAAGATACAGTCGCGCTGGGGCCGTCCCGACAGGAAGCTTTTTTAGCCTCACGCATCGCTTCATGAGCTTTTTCTCCTATGCGCCATTTGTGCATGAGTAGCTAGCGAACTCGTTCCCACAACAGCTCCATCATAAAGGAAGGTGGAAAAGTTTCATAGGAAAATGAAAGACTTTCTGTGAAAATTTGCTTCCGATTATTAGAAGTTTTACCAGCTTGTAATTCCTGGAACTTTTTCCTTAATTTCACACCCTTCTTTATATTCTCTGTAGATTGTGTGCTTATCTGAGTCTCCTACAACTTCAGTCGGTTTCAGCAAAGTGCACTGGATAGTAGGTTATCTATTTCCGACCTCATAGTCCCTGCTCTGCTAAAAAGAAAGGTTTTCTCAAAAAATTCTCTCAGATGATTGTTCGCGAGCTATTAAGATTTCCATTTTCTATATATTGTAGGCGAGAAACAGCATCGGAATGTGTTAGGTCAGAGGAAAAAAAAAACATGGAAATAGTAGTCCTATGCTACTGCAATCACTATCTTCTCCAGTACGAGAGATCCTATATAATCAGGTCGTCCGAAAATTAATGTCGGTTCGACGACAACCCGTGGGTACACGTCGTGCCATCGTCGCTTCAGGATTTAAGCGAGGTTGGGGCCACGAAACCCTGACCTCATCCACCATAACCAATATTTCTCGTGGCGAAGAGGCTATTGAGAGGGCTAGGAGTGGATCTCCGGCCTTCGTTTGAGCCCTGAAAGATTGCTCTCGTGTTGGAAGTTGTTGAAATGTCTGAACAAGCGGTTTCCAGTACCCGAGAGGCCTGCTGAATCCACTTCTTCAAACATCTCGGCAACTTGCGTGTGAGAAATGTTTTAGAAATCAGGCGGAGACAGGAAATCCCTCAAACAATCTCCTCTGAAAGTTCAGAACTTTAAAATCAGCTCCTTTCTTATTGACAAAAGTGTGTGACTAGTGGTTTTATTTGAATTGATATAGTTAATTCTGAGCTGAGACATGCTGGTTGGAAAGTAGGCGAGGAAATCCACTAGTTATCTCCGAGCAATCTGGAGAGTTTGGAATGAGTAAATCTCGGTATCCGTAGTTTTTTTTTATCTTAATTACCAGAACAGTTCATCAACACTTTCGGAACCGTGCGCTCACCTCCTCTGCCTCTCCGACCTACAGGGGGAAAGGCATTGGATGTTTTTTGTATCATCTTGATTGTATTATTGTTGTAATTTCCCTACTTATATCTATGTATGCAAAATAATAACAAAATAATAAAGTGCAACATTTCAAAAATGCATCCGATGCGTCCTCACGCATAGGGTTATGGGTGCAGAAAAGCAGGTTCCACTGTTCGAAAAGGGTTATTTTCGAAAAAAACTCCCAAATCGTTTGCTTTTCCGATTTGCGTTGCTATAAATCTGTTCCTCATAGTTTGTCGATTTTCAAAGAATTCGTCATAAAACGTTCGTTGTTTTACGTAGATTTTCTAGAAATATATGGAGTTCTTTCGTTAGTTTTTGTTTCAGGACAAGTTATTTGAAATCATCTCACGCTGGTTACACTTTGTAACTAGTTTCTGGTCGATTTATACAGCAGAAAGCATTATGGAAATGAGATCTGAACGTCCAGAAGTCCACGAGGTAGGACAGTCTTCCACGTTAGCAAGCTTTTTTTTTTTAGAATTTTCTGTTTTAGGTGTTGAGTAAGTTTATCATTAGCGACGATGTCTTGCTGACTATCAGTGCAAAAATTGAAGCCGAAATGAAAGCGGGTCTTACCAGCGATGGTGGCTCTTCAATAGCCATGTTACCTTCATATGTTCCTGCCTTACCAGATGGTTCAGGTGAGTTGTCCTTTTTTATAACTTCCTTGTTGAATTGTTTCTAGAGGATTTGTACAAATTAACATGGGCTAGAATCGTGATGGGCGAGCGTGGCGCAGTGGTTAGAGGTGTTCTGCAACATACTCGTTTTCAGTGGTTAGATTCCGAACCCAAGGCTCACCAAGCCTCCTTTCCCTCCGGGGTCTGCGAATTGGTACCGGACTTGTCCGAGAGGATATCATCACGCACTTGGTACTTCGGCAGGCTCTCTTACGTTACCTCAAACGAGGCTTTATGAAGTTAGATGATTAATATCGAAAGTTTTTTGTTTTAT